CAGAGCAGAGAGTTTTCTTCATGGCTCCAGATATTTTCCAGCTTCTGACAAAAACCACCAATTCAAAGTTGAAAAATCCAAAGAATTCCTTTTGCCTTCTATCTGTCAATAGCCCCCTAGGCAAGTCTTTTGGAATGCAAATATCCTGAGTACTCCAAAGCACTGGGTGGGGCTCATCCTTTTAGAGCCTTCTTTGGAGACATATCCTAACCCATTTAAAGATTCCAGTTTTCAGGACTCAAGGCAAGCGGGCTTACAAGCTCTCTATTTTCGCACTTCCCAATAATCATGTCTTTCAATTATTATTATATCAATGACAATAAGCAGCAGAAATCAGTATAAACAAAGTAGAATCAGATTCTTAAAATTCAATTTTTAAAGCAGTCAAGTATAATCCTTATCTCACTTATCTAAACGATTCTATTGATGCAAAATATGGAATTAGGCCCCTGAAAACATCACGCCAGAGCCAGGCTTGCTGTCAGCCATTTTGACCTCCTGTCAGCCAGTTTTCCTAAGCAGCCTTGAGAAATTCAAGGGGTGATTGTGTCCCCTAAGGTAGTTAGTTTATAGTGCCTGGCTGATCAACCCACATGGGTTTAATTGAAGGGCGGAGGGATAAATGGTTCGGTGAGCCTGGCTTTTCAAGTTCTCGGGTCTCTTGTTTCTGATGGTTGGACCACGCTGCAGCTGTCTTAGCCAGTTCCCTGCTTCAGCTCACGAGGCTCACTTCCTGCAAGACATCCCAGAGGAGAAGGCACATGGACCTACCCCGATGCAGCCCTGGGTGCTGGAGCAGCCATGTGGAGACCCCTGCCAGCACTGAGATGCTTACAAGTCCACTGATTCGGCTTTCCTCCTACAGTCTGCGTCATAGTGTGTGTTTTGTGAGATGGAGGAGCACTTTGTAGACTGGTGTCGGACACATGGGTTATTGTTGGACTTGTGGGCTTGGGCAGCACTGGGTTGGGATGTTGATGTGCACGTAACCTTTACATAAAACTCTCTTATACATGAGTTTCTGTGGATTTGTTTCTCTAAAGTACCCAGACTAACACATCCCCTGAGCACAAACTGTCTATTGATCACATTCATTTTCACCATTTCACAGAGGAATAAGCAAAGACTACAACCAAACAAAATGTTCAAAACTTTACCTTCCCATTTTCTTTCCAGAAAACAACCCAGTAAGCTGCATGAGTATATCTGTCCTCTAGATAGCCAAAAAACCCCCAAAACAATACCACCATGAGGCAGAAGGCACACAAGGATCCACTCTCCATCTTTATTATTTGTTTCTCTAGTGCCCCACTCTCAAGGTACCATGATGTGTTAATCTGGGTAGAATGTTGCCCAGTGAGTGTATCTTGCCTCCAGCAAGCTATTCATCTCCTTAGCACCTCCAAATGAAGTCATCAAGCTGCGAACTGATTGACAGGCTAAACTCCACCCCTTCACTCTTAAGTCTCAAATGGACAGCAGATCATATAACTACCACAATAACGTTGCAGGGACCCAGTGTATGAAAAGGAACACCTCTCTGCAGAGGAGATTTCAAAACTTAATGAATGAAATCTACTTTTACTAGTAGTCAGAAAGTTCATTTAAGTCACTGGTTAGTAACCTCACCAAACATCGGCTTACACACACACACACAAACACACACAGAGATATCTTTATACTAATTAAGACTTTGCTAAATATAGGCAACTCACAACTTCCACCAGGAAGATAATTGGGCACATAACATTATCTCAGTCTTTATTAAGGTGTCAATGCAAGACATTTTAGTTCCCACCCGAACCATTTTCTCCCTTAGTATAAACCAAATGTTCA